AGGATGGGGAAGAATTAAAACCACAAAAGGAGAAATTAATAGGGAGCTGTTGCCATGCTGGAAGCTACTAAAAAGGCAAGGATGCTTCAGCTTGAAAAAGAGATGCCTGAGGAGGGATATTAAAGAGGATTTTATGGGTTTTCTCCCCAGGGAAAGAGATTTTGTGGTTCAACTGTGAGTATTTCTGTCTTTGTTGAAGAACTGGGCTATTCCTCGTGAAACCAGCAATGAGCAGGTTCAAAGTGAATTCAGAAGAGAATATATTTTTTTCTGTCAGTGGACACTTTAAACTGTGCCACTCTTTTGCCCAGGAGGTTGTGAGTTTTAAAATTTTCCCGGGGTTCAGAAGCAAAATCAAGTTGCTTTTAATTTACGAGATTTATGGAAGAAAAAGAACTTTTAACCAAGGAATTTTTTTAAATTATTATTACAGACAACTTTTAAGATTTAAATAGATTATCCCTGGTTTGGGAGGTCTCTACTCATTGGAGCTTGGGGCAGTTGTAATCACCCAAGGGTGATGGTGGGTTTTCCTCACTTCCACTGTGATTAAATTCAAGCTGCCTGTCTGGAAGGGATTGAGTTGCAGGAAGCATCTTTTGGTGTCTTATTTTCTTCAGTCAGCCGAGAGCTGAGTGCTCAGCTGGGACAGGGAGATTGATGCCATGATAATTGGCTGTAATGAGATGGTTGTACTGGGACCAAACTGGGCAAACCCCGGGTGAGCCCCCGGGCTGCTCTTCTGCCTGAGCTTGAGAATAAATGTCACCCCAGAGCTATTTACAGCCCTGGCTCCTGAGAGCTTGGGAAGTGCCTGCTGGTATTGAATTGGAGTGAAAATGAGTTTCCAGTGCAACACACCAGGCTGTGATGGCACCCTCTGATGTCTCACCTTGGCTGTGCCTCTGCCTTGCTGGTGCCTCCTGGGGGGAGTGAGAGCCATGCAGAGACACCCCAGGCAACAAATAGGGGGTATCTTTGCACCTCAACGTGGGTTCAAAGGGCAAAATGTGTGGGAATGTCGTTCAGAAGAGCCCAGGAGTGACCCTGTTTCTCAGGGAGGGCTTGGTGTGAGATTTTAGTGGGCACAGCGGGATTGGCTCCAAGGTCGATCTTCTTAGAGGTCTTTTCCAACCTTAATGATTCTGAGATTCTGGGAGAGAGAGATTCTGGGGTTTTTTTTCTGAATTGGGAGTTCACCTGGGTTCAGAGAGTGCCTGGCACCAACCTGCTGCCATTCATTTCTTCCCTCAGCCAAACCCACTCCCATCCCAGAGCCGTGCCAAAGCTCTGGAAGTCATGTTTATTCACGAAGCAAAGTTATTCTCTGCTGCTTCCTAGATAAGCTCTGACTGTGTATCTGCTGTGAGTGGAGATAGGACTCAAAATAAATGGGTTTTATGCTCTGGTCTGCCAGTTCTGCAAACCACTGTGTGCCTGTGCTTACGAGAACTGACCTCATTCTTGTTTATTAACCTTTAAAAGGGAGAGGAAATGAGGGCCTGAGCTCTGACTCACTCTGAGCAGAGACAGTGGAAAAGGTGACCACCATGTGCAGCTGTGGTGGGGTTTCCTAATCCACTGCAGCCAGCATTGGGTCAGTGGTCTTCAACTACTTCCTCTAGATCAGAAGCTCTTCACCATCCCCCAGGGGAGAGCAGGGCAGAGCTGCGTGTCTGGAAGCCATAGTTAAAATATTTATCTATATATATATAGATAACTAATTATATAATGACAAGGGTTTAAAGAGTGTACCTGAATACCCAGGGATGTGGTAAGTGCTTGGAAAAGCCACACACTTATTTTTATGCTTCTTCCCCAGAAGTCACCTGTGATCCTCTCCAAAGCAAAGCCCAGCCCTTGGCAGTGGGTATTCCTCGTATTTTGGTAACAAAAAAGTGATCAGAGCAGTTCCTTAGATGGAAATGGAGTTTCAGAGTAGGTTGATTCATGGCTCATTTGCACCTGCTGCATTGGGTGAAGGTTGATAAACACCTTTTCATCCTTCTTGCAGATGCAGATACAAGTGCATGGGAGAAGACAACATTTATAATTAATTACTGGAGAAGCACTTACCAATCGCCAAACATGACTTTATCGGGCCAAACAACTTGCCATCTTTGTTACATCCACGAAGACCAAATTGGTGCCACCAGGAAGGGAGGGATTTCCTTTTTCCAAGGCACATTGCAGCTGTTTCTGCCCTCAAATAGTTTTCTTGGGTTATTAATTTCTCACTCTGACAGAGCTAAACGTTGCCTGCCAACTCCCAGCAGTTTGCCAGGGTAAGGCCTGACAGTTTGGGAGAAAGAAAAGTGTTTTCTGGAAGGGTCTTTGATAAAGTTTGTCTGTGTCCTGGGTTGGATGGAGGAGCACGAAGTTTAACCTGACGTTGTGATGGAATGATGACAGTGTGAGTGGCAAGCGTTGGGCTGCAGGTGCAAAGCATCTTGCAGGTATCAGTCTTTGATTGTTCCTGTTCTTTAAACACGAGTTATTCATGCAGGCCCTCTTCTACTCGTTGGAGAGAAGAGAACATCTCTAAAGAAATTACTCGAATTACTGAACTTCAGATAATCAGCACAGGAGAGACACAGAACTGTTAGAGCAGGTCCAGAGGAGGCCACAAAGATGCTCCAAGGGCTGGACCCCCTCTGCTCTGGAACCAGGCTGGGAGAGCTGGGGGGGTTCTCCTGGAGAAGAGAAGGCTCCAGGGAGACCTCACTGTGGCCTTCTGGGACCTTATAAATGGTCCTTGTAAAAAGGACCTTATAAAAGACAGGAGGACCTTATAAAAAAAGATTAAAAGCGAGTTTTACTTGGGCAAATAGTGATAGGACAACGGTGGGTGGTTTTAAATTAATAGAGGAGAGATTTGGATTAGATATTAGAAGGAAATTCTTGCCTGTGAGGGTGGGCAGGCCCTGGCACAGGTTGCCCAGAGAAGCTGTGGCTGCCCCTGGATCCCTGGAATGTCCAAGGCCAGGCTGGACAGGGCTTGGAGCAACCTGGGCTGGTGGAAGGTGTCCCTGCCCATGGCAGGGGGTGGAATGGGATGATCTTTAAGGTCCCTTCCAACCCAAACCATTCTAGGGTTCTGTGATCCTATAGTCCAACCAGAGTTCTGCTTTCCATTGGCTTCTTTAGGTTGACACACCTCACTTTCAGATGCATAAATTTAAGAACCTGAATCCCCCCTTTAAAACCTGGAGCATTCCAGGGAGCTGCTCAAATGCTTTCAGCACGCCTGAAAAGGGCAGCAGTAAGGAAGAATGGTGTTGTAAGAGCCAACAGGCTCTGTAAAGGTGTATTTACAGAGGAAATAATTTTTAAAAGATACACTTTATTTGTCTTGCAAGGCCAGTCTTGCATATCTTCACTTTCTGTTAATCAAAGGAAGCTTTTGTTACAAAAGTGAACACCTTAAAAGCTTCCTTCATGCATCACAGCTGGTGGTGAAAAATGTCAACACAGCAAAGAGATACAGATCACAAAAATGCTCCGAGTGCATAATTCAGGACACTTAAAAAGCCATCTGATACTATCACCTCGTATTTTATTTTACACCATAACCTGTCCTGAGGTAATGGGCTCACTAGAATATATTGAGGTTCAGGGAGGGAAAGGCTGTAGAGCATGAAACACCCCATCCTGAAATCATCTCTTTTCCGTGGGCACAATCTTTAATATCTTAATCCTTTGGGAGCTGCTGGCTGTTTGGTGGCAGATAACTGTGAAACCTGGTATTAGGAACCTGAAAACTGAATTCTGATGAACTCCACAGCCTGCAAAAGATACCATCACTTGCTCCATTTCTCAGGCTCCGCTAAACTCACCTCAGGACTTCACTCGAAAAGTTCAGTTTGTTTGGGAAAGAAGGGAGGAAGAACCTACAGAATCGCTTTGAAATAAGCTGAGGGTTCTTTTTCAGCTTCAAAGCGGGTTTTTTTTTTGTGCTCTCTTTTATTGATCTGAGACAGCACATTGCTCTGCACAGGCTGATGATGACACCAGCCTTTTTATATAATTTTTTTTTTAGCTCAAGTATTAAAAGGTGCTTTAAAGCAGGAATTTCAGATGGGGGTGTAATTACCCAGAACTGCAGTTTGACAGTGGTTCTCACAGCTGCCTGTGAGAAAGGTGTTTCCTCAGCTCTTCTTCCTCACCTCCCAGGTTCCTGTGTTGGGCTGTTGGCCTGAGCAGCAGCGTTTTATTCACATTTGGGGAGGTGTTGCAGCCTAATGGTGCATCACAAATAACTGTGAGATGCTGGAAAAAGGGAGGTCTGTTGACAACCCACCTGCGTAACCCAGGCAATAAATGAAGCCCCTCCCTGCTGGAAATTTAAAGGAGGGATAAAAAAAATGTTCTCAAAATTCTGCTGAGAACTCTGAAATAGGTAACACATCGAGGCAAAAATGTATCTGAATTCTTTGTTATCCACTGTCCCTCCTCAGCCACCAGCTGTGTTTTGTGCCTTCCCCCTTTCTGAGGAGAAAAAAAACTCCTTCTGGGGAAGGGATTTGGCTCCTGGTCCCTTGATTGCCATCCGTGTCCCCTTTCCTGCTGTTCACAGCCCCTGCCCAATCATCCCAGGGCAAACTGATGGCAGAATTTTGTGGGGAGCAGAGGAGGAAGGGGGGTCGTGCCTCACATTTCAGATCAGGTGTTTTAATGCGACAGGGAGGGGTTAAAGCAAGGAAGAGAGAGGTTTGATTAGGCATTTCTGACTTTTTAATCTGTTCTCTGCCAACTCTGATTTGCCTGGTTCTTACACCAAATTGCTGTTCCTTCTATGCTGATTTCTGGAAAATTACAGACACCACCAGTGCTGAATTTCAGGGACTGGGGTGGCTGAAAGCTGCGTGTTTAAATGAAATATTTCAGTGCCCTTCATTCCAAAAGGTGCCTGCAACTGGGGTGATGGGCTCCACACACCTGCTCCATCCAGCAGACGCAACTCCTGTGTGTTCAACCCCCTGCTTTTCTCTCCTCCCCAGGTTGCAGGAGGCAGTGGGACAACATCACGTGCTGGCCCGAAGCGGAGGTGGGGGAAGTCGTGGTACGACCGTGCCCCAAGTACTTCAGATTCCTCACCTCTTTCCTTGGTAAGCAAATCCCCAAAACCTTCTTTATGGCTTCACAGGGGGGGAAGCTCCATCGTATAATCAGAGGGGGAAACAAGCTCTTTCCGTGAGATAAAGGAGGTTTCTGATGCCCAAACCATCAGAGCATCCTCCCTGTCCTTGCAGCATCCCACACTCTGGGTCTCAGGGGTTTGAAAGTGGCTCCTGGTGAAATCCAATATTCAGGATGTTGTGCGCTGAAAACCGAATCAACCTGTGTCACGGTATGTTTGTTGTGCAAAATGAGCAGTTCAGCACCATCATTAATTAAGTCTCTGACACAAAACAAGCTGAAGCTGCACAGAATAAAGGGTTGTGGGGGTTTTTTTTGGTGTTTGTTTTTTTTTTTTCTGCTGAAATGACAGGTTTGGCCACGGGCCAAGAAATTTAACCCGGCAAATAATGGGCAGGGAAGATTAATGGAGGAAGTCTCTTAACTCACTGGGGTGTTTGGGAAGGTTTAGTTTAAAACTCGGGTCTCAGGGGGCTGTGCAGCAACAGGACTGGTTGTCTCCTGGTGGTTTATGGTCATTTTTTACTCCTTTTATTATGGAATCCCTGCAGACCTCCACAGAGAACTGAGCTCTTTTGCACTGGAGGTTATTCAGCGAGCTGATAAATCTCCACTTTTAGAGCCTGGGCAGTCCAAACTCACACAAAGGATGTGGATGGGAGCAAGGATACAATATCATCCCTGTTTAGCAGGCCAGGGCACTGCACTCATTAACCAGCTGATCACCTGCCTTGCCCAAGGCCACACCAAAATTCTTCGTAGACCCAGAAGGGAAATTCAAAATCCCTGGAGTCCCGTCCTAGTGCTGACCTCCCTGTTTCCAAAATTCCCAACTAGTTCATCACTCTTGTGTCAACAGCCAGGGAAAACAGGCAGAAGCTGCTGTAATATCCCATCTTGCAGGACAAGACCCCCGTGCACTGGTTCAGCCACGTGGAATAATTGCCTGCTGTTCCTGCTTTGTGCCCTCTCCCGAGCACAGCATTCCCTCCCTGGGTTTTACAGACCCAGCTGAGTTACTTAATCAGTGCAAAAAATGTCTCTCCAACAAGTTTTCCTAATGCATAATCCCCCCCAGAGCAGAGCAATGAGGAAAATATTATATATATTTGGTTTTATATATATATATACCTATATATATATAGGTCAAGCATTGGAATGGGCTACCCAGGGAAGGGGTGGATTCACTGCCCTTGGAAGTGTTCAAAAATACAGAGGTGGTGTTTAGGGACATGCTTTAGTGGTGGACCTGGCAGTGTTGAATTAGTGGATGGACTTGATGATCTTAGAGGTCTTTTCTAACCTTAATGATCCTATGATTCCATTTTTCATATAAATATGTACATTTTTATATATGTAATTAATTTATATATGTAATTAATATGTAATTTATTTATGTAATTAATATGTACATTTTTTATAAAAATATGTACATAAATATATAAATCCTTGTGGCTACGTTGAACTTAAGCTGAGGAAAGTGGGATGCCTTTAATTCTGTGGGAGGATGGACTTCTGAGAATCCATAAACTTGCCCATTCAGGTGCAGCTGTTGCTCCCTGAGTTGTCTTAGGACACCCTGGTCTCCCTGTCCCCCTGCAGAAAGGTGAAGATCTCTCATGGCTTGTCTGTCATTGGGTCTGTCAGGTGCTTAAGAGGATTTTAAAAAACTTTGGGTTAGGTTTTCCCAAGCAACTGGAGACAGAACAAGAGGGAATGGCCTCATACCATTGGGATGCACCATGGGAGGTTCAGGTTGGACATCAGGAAGAATTTCTTCATGGAAAGGATTGTTAAGCATTGGAAGGGGCTGCCCAGGGAGGTTGTGGAGTCCCCACCCCTGGAGGTGTTCAAGAAAAGACTGGACGTGGCACTCGGTGCTCTGGTTTAGTTGACAAGATGGGGATCGGTCATGGGTTGGGTTTTTGGAGGCTTTTCCCAACTTTCCTGACCCTGTGATCCTGTGAAGTGGATGGTTCCCATCCTGGGAGAAGCCCAGGCTTCACTAAGAGCACTCAGATCATCATTTGGGCTCTCTGTGCCTTTGTCTCCCTGTGCCAAGAAGGAACCTCAGACACAAACCAAACCCTGGCCCTTCCCTGCACACCCACCTTGCAGTGAGCCTGCAGCAGGTGTAAGTTTTTTGTGAGCAGGGAGCTCAGCAAATGCCCTCCAGTGCATCTCAAACAGTACCAGATGCTCATGGTTAGGAACCTGAAGGGAGCCCTCAGTGTTTCTAGTGGAGGTGCCCATCTGTGAGCTCAGGACCCGGTGCTAAGATATTTAGGAAAACAATTTCCAACCTGGAGTGGCATTTGTATCAACTGATTTTGGAGTTTTCCATAAGTAAAACCTATCTCTGAGCTGGTTTTTACGGTCAGAGGTGAGAAAAGGGCTCTTTAAAGGTGCAGTTCAGGTAGTTTTTAGACTTCAGGATGAGTCGGAAAACATCGCTAAACCACATATTTCTCTCCATTTACAACAGAATGATTGTGGAGTGGCTCTGGCAGATGGGAATGTCTTCCAGTATGGAATCCCAGCTCTGCAGAGCAGAAGTGCTCCATCTACTCCTGTAAACAGAGCAGCTGAGGCCCTTCCCAAAGCAGAAAGGGCAGCTTTGATTTCTCTCCGAGCCATCCACAGCCGCACACAGACGTGGGAAGCAGGGATGGTCTGACATGAAAGGAGGGGAAGATTGCCTCTTGTTTTAGGGGATTGCTTGCAGAATTAATGCCATCAAAGTTTGTGAAGCAGTTCTGCCTTTGTTGCAGTCAGGACCCTTGAGTAGCTTTCAAGGAACTCAATCACCTGGTTTAATGTTCGTGTCGTTCCCTTGGCAGGAACATGAAAGCTCCTATCAAACTGTGAGCAGGAGAAAACCTTATTGTCTATTTACAGCAGGAAAAGGTGGAAACACTGGGAAGCAAAGAGTTAATGTCATTTTCCCACCTGACAGAGAATATGCTCTTCAAATGACTAATAATCCCATCTCATGGAAAGTAGAGGATAAAATATCTCCTGGCATTTAGAATCCATAAAATGCCTGCCATAGCCCTGATGTCATTTGACATTAAATTTTTATGGCAATCACGGATTCAAAAAAATTTTCATTATTTCACAGCGTTCGTCACCACCGTGTGAGGGAGACGGATGAGAATATTTTTGGCACCTTCCCTTAAGGGGAAGGTGCTTGACCAGAGTGCTCCAGCTTGCTTTTAATACATGGAAGATGAAATTTGTAATAATGGGTTATTTCTCACAATTTCTCCAGAAGCAAATTGCCCCTCGTGCACACGTTGGTCAGTATAAATTAGCACTGATGGTTTTTAAGCTTCAATTGTAAGATTAATTGGCTTAAGGGGGGGGGGGGGGAATAACCAGTCTCTGGAATCCCACTCGCTGAGATGAAATCCTTCTGAGTTTTGGGCTTGCCCAACTCCTTTTGTCCTCTGGGGCTCTAAATTTATTTCCGCTCTCCTTTCCCGCCCCTCATGAACACTTTTTTGTTCTATATTGCTTTTGCAACGGGAACAAAAATTGAATAAAATGAGGAGAGGGAGGAGCAGATAGCAGCAGATAATGAGGAGACATCCCCAGTGCTGTAAAGAACTCCAAAATGAGCCAGACCCATTATTTATTCGCTGCAGTGCTCATTTAAAAGGAAACGAGCAGTTGAGGGCATTTTGTTATGGAGGTTTGTTCACTGAGAGCCCTCCACCTGCTCAGGCTGTGGAGTTGCTGTAACTCCCCCTACCCAAAAATGTGCATCTTTTTTTGTTGTGAATGTTTCCTGGAATGCTGTGATTGGAGCATCAAAAGATCTCATGGGAAATTCGTCCTAAAGTTTGGCAGCTCTGCTTTTGGTAGGAGGAAACAAACAATTTACCAAGGGCGACTAATGAAAGGGAACAGGTGATGTTTGGAAGGGAGGAATTGCCTGTATTTGCTAAGGATCGAGGTTTCCACAATTAGAAAGTGCAGGGAAGGCAAAGGGAGATAAGGAAAAAGGGATTATTGCCCCCAAAAACGGGGTGCAGGATATTTCAGGGCACTGGAAATGTGGCTTCAGTGACTGCAGGCCAAGTGATGTGAAAAACAGCAAATGAAGAAAATGAAGGCTGTGCCTGTTGTGTGATGGGCTCACACCATGCCATGGCCCCTACTGGGACATTAAATTATGACATATAAAAAATTATGACGTATAAAAACAGGAAATAACATAAAGCAGAGAAATTTTACTGGAAGAATGACCTTGTGATATCCTGGCTGAGGCAGAGGAAGCAAGTTTGGAAGATCTCTTGTCATGATTACCCCACAAATTTTTATTCCCCAGATCTAACCACTCCAGCATCCAGTTTAATGCAAGCTGTAGCTGTCTGCAGGTCTCAAGTGTTTCCCAAGAGCAGTGGGACGGATCAATAATAAAAATGGAACTATTGATGTGCCAATGGGCCCAGCAGCATCTCAAGAGGAGTAAATGACAAGTAGGGCTGTTGCTTTAACAGCTTCTGCTTGAAAAAATCAGTTTGTGACCATGGAATATGATGAGGGAGAAGCAGGATATTGGTGGTCAGAGCAGACCTTCCCCTCTGCTCTAGAGGCTCTTACAGAAAAGGGCAAGAGCAGCAAGAGGGGGTAAAAGCAAACACTCCTGAGCTCCCATTAAATTCAGGCTCCCATTAAAAGCCAGCAAGAGGTTTTCTTCCCCAAAGATCAAAGAGCTAAAACAGCCCCTCTAAGACAAACTTTCAGACGTGCCTCTGGGTCTGAAGTGTGTTCTTGAAACAGCTGAGAGGCAAAAAGAAATTAAGAGGAAAAAAAACCTTAAGAGCCAGACATAGACAACAGCCCTCTGCATTTATTCAGTTCAGTGTTTAACTCCTACCCCTGATCAAACACCTTTGATAAAGGAAATGTTCTGGTTTTATCTTTGTTCCACCAACTCCTCCCTTCTCTCCTTCCGTGTCGT